AGCTCGGCTCGACTCGTTTACAATTCTATTATGAATGAAATTAATAACTTTTTACATATTTTCTCTTATTGTTTTAATGATTTTTTTTCACGTATTGGTTGAATATACAAAATGTTATTTTATGATTGCACAATTCAAGTATGTTAGTGATAGTCTATAAATGAGTTAAGTGGAGTTAATTCATTTTTCAAACGATTTTCAATTTAGATTTGTTATTTAACTTTGTTAAATATAAAATAAAAGCTAATACTTTCCAAAGAAAAAATCTATATAATTATTGTCAGAGTGTGATGTACTCTACTAAACTTAGAGTATATTTAAGTAAATGAATGTTTGAAGCTTTGTTGCTAATTTTTTTCTTTAAATGAAAAGAATTTTATCATTTTTTTTCTTCTTTGACTAGTACGAATCGGATAAACGATTTTCATCAATATTTATAAATTAAAAATGCTAATTAAATAATATTTATAGATTAAAACCAATATGTAATAAAATTTAGCTATATTATTTTATTTAAAATGTTATATAAAATTTAAATTGTGAAAAATTACATAAAATATGTCTATTTAATATTAGTACACAACTTGTATGGTGCACATAACTGATAATAAATTAAATTATATTCATTTTAAAATAATAACTTTAAAATTTTTATTCAGATATTCGATTTGAGTACAATGGGGTTTCATAAAATAATTATTTTGATAAAAAAATTTACCACATATTTAAAAATCTATATGAATAATAAGTATAATTTTAAAATTTATATCGTGTTATTATTTAAAATAAATTTATTTTTGTATAAACTATAGATAAAATTAAGTAGTTTAGTAATTTATTAAACTGTAAATAATTGACTATTTTATTTACGTCCAACTTAATATTGACTCGTAAGTTATGAATAATTACGTATTTACATTTTAAATTTGGAATCCAATTTTGGACTAAATAATAAATCCCATTATATATTATATATATATATCTATATTTTACTAATCTCAAAATTTTATAGATTTGTTGTCGGTTACCTTATCGTTCAAATTTTTCAACTAATTCTCTATAATTAAATTGTAAATTTTAAATTTTATTAACAAATATTTGTTCGATTTTTTTTCAAAAGGAATACATACCACTTTCCCCAATTATCATCAATATTTTATGGAAAAGTTATTATGAGAATATTCTAAAATTCAAGAATCATATCACATTGATTTTGTAACAAATCAACCTAATATTCGACTTTAATACTCATACTAAATAAAATTCATACCACTTATTTTTATTTCTAAATTTTCAAATACATTTCTATAAATTCATATCATTGAAATTCGGACATTTCATATCAAACTAAAAATTGCCATCTTTTTATTTATCATATTATTCAACTATTATTTTATTCTAAAATTTATTATCATATAATATATGTTAAGATAATTTTTTAAATTAACTACCCTATTTTATCATATGCAACTATTTTGATATTTCTTACAAACTATTTTTTTTACATTTATAACTTACGCAACACAAAATTCTATTTACACTACGTAGTATAAGAACCAAAATGCAACGAATTACGTTGTAATCAGTTTGAAACACTAAAAGGTATATAATTTCAATATGAATGTTGTTAAGTCGAGATTACATTATTTATGCCGAGCCCCGTGCGTCAGGCAGTGCTACAACTATAAAATATCGAATTGTTAAAAATTAAGCAAATTATTTATTTCTTATGAAGAAAACAAAGAAATATTTTGATAGGATATCAATCAATTTTAAGCACGATATATTGTATTTATCTATTTAAATTTCACATTATCAAAATTCATAATTTTATAATTTTTCATTCAATTTAGAATATATTTATATTTTAATTTAAAATAAATTACATAGTAATCCTAGATGGCTAACTTACTTTTTTTTATTGACATGTTTAAAGCAATGAGTTAAAATCAATCAACAGGAATAATTTTAGTCATTCTCAATTTATTGAATAAATATTTGTTTGAAATATATTTATTAATTATATAATAGAATAAATATAATATTCTAATTATTGAGAATATCTATTTTCAGTTTCATATATGAAATGTTGCGGCTCAGTGATATTAACTTCAAGGATATGGAATATTGCGGTTGCGATATATATTAAGAGAGAATCTTTATATATATTGCAATTAATGGATAATTTTATTTTCACAATAAAAGAAAATTAACCTAAATATTTTTAAAATTCAAAATTAAAACTCTATTAGCAGGATTTTTTTCATTTTTTTTTTAAATTACCAAGTTTAGTAATTTTAAAAATTTTAGACGGGATTTTAGTTTATATTTCAAGTACAAATATATATATATATTCCAATTAATAATAAATTAATCAAATTCGTTTAGCCGTAAATATGTTTTTAGTTAAATATTAGATCTATGGAATTCCTCGGAAACCAACTAACAGTACGATTTTCATTAGATATAAAACCGTAAGCTTATAATAGATTATAATTAAAACTTCAAATTGGTTATAATTGAGCAAAAATAATGGATATATACCAAGTTTAAAAACATGGAAAAACAGATTATGGTAAGAATCAATTTACATGTGCAGATTGTACTTAAAAAAGTCGTTTTTAACTAAAAATTCTGATTGGTTTAAGTTTAAGGAAATTCGTGGCTATATGCTATGCTTCAACATTTAGCTCCACTGATTATGGAATTATGGACAAAGCGTGTGACAGCTATTTAGGTGTAGGATTTTGTACATATTTTAAATTAACTTTTTTAAATTAAAATTTAAAAAATGGCCGCCCATTTGTAATTTTTTTTTAAAAAGTTACTAATAAAAGTAAAAATGAAATATTTTGGCGAGATTTCAGTTTCTATTACAGATAAATACCAAACCTTTTTATATGTATATAGATATAGATTCTTAAGATTTGTTTCAAAATTTATTTATAAAATTCAGTTGTACCTTTATTTTGAATTTTGCTGCTTTTATTATGCTGAGTTACATTATTTTTTTTTTTTATTAAATTAACACAAATGAAAACAATGAAAGACAACATTTAGCACATTTCGTCCAGAACCTTATAGGTTTCAGGCGGACTCTGCGGGGATGGATCCAAAAATTATGAGTGGACTGGACTAAAATTTTAGATACTCATTGTTATAAAATCGCGTAATATTTTCTTCAAATATTCACTGATATTGTGTTGGCCAAGATTTCACATAATAAAATTCACCAATTATAGAATACATATATTTATACTATTAGTAAACTCTCGTTCGATGAAGAAAATCAAACAAGTTTCGAGAATACCATCTCGTGCATTACACGATTAGTGACTAGTACACATGAATAAAAAGGTGTAAAATAAATTTACACAGTAGTTTTTTTTTTTTTTTTAATTTTATTTTTCTGTTCAAATGCATACAAAATTTTACAACTTTTAGGTAGTGTTTGGTTGGGGGAAAATAAGGGGAGGGGAGGGGATTTTTTATATTTCTCTTGTTTGGTTGGTAAATTAAGATAGGAAAAAGCTAAAATTCCATTACGGGATGGTTTAATCAGTGTCTTTCACCATTGAATGCACGTGTAGATTATATTGTACATAATCTATGGTAACAAATACTGAGCCATTATGTCAACGGAATTGTAGTTGTTCCCATTAAGATATGAGGGAAGGAAAAATTTTAAGTTAAACTTCCCTCTTCTCCACATTTTTGCTCCCCTCTAAAAATAGGAAAATTTGGAGGGATGGAAAATTTTAAGTTATACATTTATTATTTTGCTCTTTTATCATTTTAACATTATTTTTCATTTAATTTCATTTTCTTACCAAACAAACAAGGTTTATAATTTCTACACAACTCCCTCCAACAAAATTGTTCCAAATTATTTTAGATCACCACTCCTTACATTATCCCCCTTTATTAAAATCCCTCTCATCTCTTTCCCTCGTTTAAACCAAACATACCCTTAAAAGTCGATGACTCGCAACTTCCCTTCACGAATTACTTGAACTCCTCAGTCCTCAACATCACACTCCATTGTTAACAACAACAATCTTCCACACCATTGTGTAATGCTTAAATTGCCTCTGCTGAACATCTCCAGATTGCTCCGTCTCCATCAGAGCATATCCAACTTCTCAGCCGCCGCCGGCAGGTCGAGCCGACAAATGTTTCAGCTGAAATCCGACCCGCTTACCGGAAAATCCGAGTGGATCCTCATCGAGGACGACGGAGGAGCAGACAATGGGAAGAGACAAACAAGCCCAAAAGCCCTTCTTGCTACGACGTCGTATCTTGACATGCTGAACGATAGCCGCCGCAACAGTGCTTTTAATCGGGCCATTGAGAAGACCGTCACTAAACCCTGCCATGTTCTTGATATTGGGTTCTCACTAAATCCTTTTTTTTCTGTCTATTCGCAATTCTTAGCGTGTAATTTGAGCAAAACTGTGTGTGACTACCAATGTTGAGGAACCAGCATTATACTGCTCGTTTGCTGAAATTTGGGTAAAAAATGGAATTATAATGTTTAGATAAATTGTGTCTGTAAATCATCCCAGGTGAATCCGTTAGTGTTGCTAAAATGAGCCAAAAATGTGTTCTTGGTGATTATTAGTAAATCACTGGTTGAAGATTAGGCATGCCTATTGTTTTGAACAGTGCAGGAACAGGTTTACTGTCAATGATGGTGGCTCGGGCCATGGGCTTTTCTTATTCGAGTGGGAGCTTTACTCCAACTCGTATGGTGACAGCTTGCGAGGCGTACCTTCCCATGGTGAAGTTAATGAGGAAGGTTCTCAAGGCCAATGGCTTGGATGGCAAAGTACGCATCATAAACAAGAGGTCAGATGAGCTGGAAGTTGGCTTGGATATCCCTTCACGTGCTGATATTCTTGTGAGTATCTTTATGATATCTTTGTTATTCTTTGGTGCCGTGAAAATCCTTGCATTGAGTAGAGTGTTGTATCTTTAGTCAGAATTGTGTCCTGCCAGCATGTCAAAAATCTTAGAAGAAGAAATCTATAATTGAATTGGAACTTTGTTCTCAGTAGGTTGTGACATAATTGCTTCTTACGCTCAAGTACAAGTAGCAAGTGTTTCTTTTCTCATGTTAGGAAGGCTCATCTTTGAACTGCATTGGTAGAATACTAGAATTACCCCGGATTTGGAGATCATTCTTCCATCACTTCTACCTAAAAGAACTTTACCAGCTGGACTTACTTCATTTACGGATGTGATTGTAGCTTTAGCTTGCTACCTGTGGTTAAACGGCATTACGATGCAGGTTAGTGAGATCCTGGACTCAGAGTTATTGGGTGAAGGTCTAATTCCAACTCTGCAGCATGCACATGACAAACTATTAGTGGAAAATCCCCAAACAGTACCTTACAAGGCTACAACTTATGGTCAGGTAATTGATCAGATTTAGCATGATCTCCAACAGTATAGATGTCTCGCAACTAATCGTGTTTGGTTAACTATCAATATCATTTTATGACTTGAAGATGATTTTAACTAGAAAAAAAGAAAGAAAAAGAAAGTAAGGCTAAGAGTATTCCTTCTTGTATACTTGCAATATAATGCATTTTAACTCTTTTACTGGCATGCATAATAAACTGATCTGGATGTTGCTCGTGGACGCATAAACTTAGTTATAGTATTGTCTCATTATAATATTCTTTATTCTCTTCAGCTCGTTGAGTGCTCATATCTTCGGGAGATGCATGATTTATTGAGTAGAGAGACAGAAGCATCGGATGGAATTTTTCTTGTTCCAAGTGGGATGGCTGATCTTTTAGGTGTTAAACAGCAACAACTAGCGATGCATTGTGATGCAATTGAGAAAGAAATCAAATTGGTAATGGAAATATGATTACTAACAAAATTTAACTTTGTGTAATTTTTTTTTTTCCGTTTGTTTTTATTTCAGCAAATGTCTATTTTGAGTCGATTCTACTTAATGTGGTACCTTTTTCCAGCTGTCAAAGCCCTTCAAAGTTTTCGATTTTGACTTCTGGAGAAGGCCAGAAAGTTTTCGTGAAACTGAGTTGCAGATAAATGCTACAAATGATGGTACTGTTCATGCTATCATTTCATGGTACATGATATGGACATTGGTTAATGAATTTAACTTATTATCCAAGTTCTTTGTTTTTATTCACATGAATAGCCCTGGTTGTTATGAGTAATTTGTCTTTGTTCAGGTGGTTGCTTCAGCTTGATAGTGAAGGAACAATCTTCTATTCTACTGCACCAAATTGGCTAGATCAAGATTCTTCTAAAGAGGAGTTAAAATCATCTCCTCCTGGTAAGTTCTAGATTCTGTGGTTAATTTTTCATTCTTTTCAAGAATTGACAAATCTGGAGATTGTTTGAGCAACTGATCAAAGCTTTTGTGACATTTATTTAAAAAAATCATAGTGTGGCCATTATTTCTTTTTGTTGTTTAATTATAGGATCTAGGAGTTGGTGTGACCATTGGAAGCAAAGTGTTTCGTTCACCCTAAGCTCTGGTCTGCATGTGTTTAAAGATCAAGAGGTTCTGTTACATGCTGTCCATAATGAAACGAGCATCTCATACGAATTCAAGTGTTCAGATGAAAAGAAAGAGGTCGCACATATTGACCCCTGCATCCAGGACAATAAAATTGTTCTGACTCCAGAAAGAATTGCTTTATATGGAACTAGAAGTTGGAGGAGTTTAATGCTTGAAGCTGTTGAGAAAGCTGTAAGTTCTTTTTGTCCTTGGGGGAGTATGATCATCAATCACTTATTTTTTCTAAGTTTCCACCAAAATGACTTGGAAAAGTAATATGTAGCTTAACAATTGCCTGGTATTTGCTGCATTCTGAAGGTTGTGTGCACTTTTTGTTTTCAGTTCATTCATTTTTTATCTATTCCTTAGCTCGTCTATTCAATTCTATATAGTGCTTACTTTTTTTTCGAGCTCAAGATAGGAACGGTTTTATAATTGGAATTGATGCTCGCTGAATATGATATCATTTTTATTTTTTCTTGTTTTTACTTCATTTTATTGTTTTCACTTGTCTAGATATGATCTCATATTACTATTTCTACTGCCAATAGAATTCCTGTCCTGCTAGTTAGGCTTTGGACTTTCTGAAGTATTTCACCTCAATCTTTTAGAAGGGTTGAACTATTTTTTTTCTGGTCATAAGTTGATCACAATGTGAAGTATGTTACGTTTCAATATTTCTTTACATCAAGTTTTCGTCTGTTAGTTATCCCTTTTTCCTTTTGTTTTTCCCTTTTTTTTTTTCTGTCTCAGTTGCATCAGATAGTAGATCCCTTATGTTTAGTTGCAGATGATAGCATTTTCTTGGCAATTGCCGTGGCCAGTGTTTCTAAGAATGCACGTGTCATTCCATCTTTTCCCGGACTTGGAAAGAAGGGTTTGAAATATCTACAAAGAGTCTCTGCAGCAAATGGTTACACTATGGATCGTGTGCACACATTAAAGGACTTGCATCCGACCCAGCAGGATTCAAGAATGGTAAACAACAATAATTTATTTTTATTTTTAATTTCTACAGACTTTTCTAGGGCTAATAAAAAGATTAACTAGCGAAACTAACTTATGGTGTTCTGCCGTGTCTGCTTGGCCTTCTGTCATGGTCTATCATTTGTTATGCAGATTAACTTATTGATTGCTGAGCCATTCTATTATGGAAACGACAATGTGCTTCCCTGGCAAAATCTGCGGTTTTGGTATGTCGTACTTCCAACATTAATTAGTAGTATTGACGATTATGAAATTAGTCATTGTTTTCCCATAAAGAGGGTTTTTTTTTTTTTCACATTTTTTTCACTATTTTTTGCCTTTTGGAAATACACTTTAAATGGGTAAGTTTTTAGTTTTTATGATTCTATCTTTTCGACCATGCAAATCAATAAGGGCATAAATGGAACTTAATATTATCAGCTTCTCTATTTTAGAAACAAGTCAATCCTTTTGGGACAGGAGTAAAAGATATACTTTGGTAAATTTGCTATTATCCGCCTTTGTATTCTCTAGGAGAGAAAGAACTTTGCTTGATTCCAGTCTATCAAAAGATGTGCGCATTATGCCTTGTAGAGGATTGTTAAAAGCTTGTGCTGTGTACCTCCCTGTAAGTTTGCAAATGAATAATACTTTGCTAAACTTTATCTCGATGCAATGGCATATGGTTAAGAGACAACAAACGATATTCTGCAACAGGATTTATGGCAAAGTCGACGTAGCCTTCAAGCAATAGAAGGATTTGATCATACGATGGTGAATACCACATTAGGGGCATGTGGAGATTTGCCTTTTGCAGAAGAAGATGGTCCATTTTTGCCTGTCTTTTACTGGCAGTGTGGGGAGAGTAAGGTAGTCTCGTTTATTTTATTTGTATGTGTTCATTTATCTTTATTTTTCTTCTTTAATGATCATTTTGTTGTGATACTTGTTTCAGGTACTCTCTGAGACAGCCACTGTCTTGGAGTTTGATTTCTCAAAACCGATGAGCCCATGTACCAAAAAAACTCGGGTAAATTGTAAATCACCTCCCTTCGCAAAATATTCACTAGTGACAATCAGAACTTTTCCCCCCATCACCATGTAACCAACTTTATTTACAGGTTCAATTTACAGAAGTTGGAGAGTGTCACGGTTTTGTTCTTTGGATTGACTGGATTGTGAATGAGGAGGACCATATCATTTTCTCAACAGGGCCAGGTTGGTTGAATAAATTTTATTTGTTAAAGGAATCAATTGATATCATTGTTGCCAATCTTTTTTCTCCGCGTACTATTTTCAAAATCGACGTTCTTTTTTTCTTTTTTCGAACATAATTATGCATTCAAGATCTCCTCATTGTTTTTAGATAAAAGACACTGGAAACAAGCTGTGAAGCTTTGGAAGAAGCCTGCTGAGGTTAGACCCGGTAATTTATCCTCAATGGAGGTTGAAGCATTTTTTGATCCATCCAACGGTGAACTCATCTTGAAACATGAATTCTTGACATAGAACAAAAGATAGCTGATGTGGTATAGTTCGCCAGCAGCGTTCAATGGACAATTCGCCCTTAAACGTCTGAATTTTGTACCTTATTTTTAGTATAATAATTATGAACAATTATAAACTGAAGCCTTTCTAGCTAGTAAAAGCCTATAGTATTTTATTTTGATCATCGACTGAGCAAAGTTGTTGGGCGATCATTGGGCTGTCGAAGCTAATTTTGACATTGCATTTGTCATTCTCTAATGATTAAACATCAAGAATTTTCACACCTCTCTCTCTCTCTCTCTCTCTCTCTCTCTCTCTCTCTCTCTCTCTGTACCCACCAGCACAGATACACACATACACACAAACAATGACACACACAGAGTTCTTTGTCTACTAAACCAGTTCAACAATAAAATCAGATTAAGCACTCAGTTTTACCCAGGCTAACAATTCAACACAAAATTAAGAACCCAATACAATTTTCTTTTCCTCTTCCAGTTTATTTAACCATTTCAGTCCAAGATCGCATCCTGCGGTGGCAGCAATTTCAAATTGTTCTCTTGCCCTCTCAACTGGATCTGTCTCGAGACTTTCAGCATCCTTCCGCCTTTTGGGAGCCGATTTCTTCTCAAATCTGGTCACAGATTCAGGAAGCTGGACCCCTAAAACAGGTTGTAGCGTAAATATCAATTAACAAACGAGCTTAAACCGAAAGATTACCAAAACACCTACATAAATGAAGTATTGACTTCCATGGGAAAGAACTAACCTCTAAGAAGAAGGGATCCACATGCTATAGCAGCCCCAGCATGGCCCTACATAAAATTGACGCTGAGTTATGTTATTCAATGCAAGGCTTTTACAAAAAGCTGTCGAGTACCGACTCATAACTAATATCTTTCAGAAGCCATAAAATTTAATTCAGACTTTTGCTGTTGCCTAATAGTTAGTTACATCTTAATAAGAACATAGTCAGACTACCTTCTGGGATGCTTTGTGGAAACACCATATGGCAGAAGAAACATCTTGGCTCACACAATCCCCGGTCAAATATACAGCTCCTAAGAGGTATAGAGCACCAGGATGCAGCTAGAACCAAAACAAGTTTTAACAACATTTGAAAAACCGAGATCACAGTAAAGCATTTGCAATAATAAAAACAATATAAATGGTATAGTTGCAAAAACTACCTGGTCAACTGCCTTTTCCAGATAATAGAAAGCTTGCTGATCGGATTGTACATAAGGATTCTGCCATAATTTTGGAAAAACAACAAGATTTTACTGTTAACCAGAAATAAAATTCTCCTTTATGAATAGGATAAAGAAATGAAAGACGTGGCATTATGGTAATGAAAAAACAACAATGTGGTGCTGACTCTAGTATATTAACCATGAAGCCAGGACTGGAGTGGACTAGAGAGGAACCAAAAGGACTAGTTCTCCTTCAAACCATAATAAAATATAAATGTCATTTAGCTTCCTCATTTGTAGTTATATTTATCAACCTACAATATATAGCAAACAAAACAGAGGCCTGACGTACTGCCGAATCCCCAGTTCACTGAGTTGTCTTGAATACCTCGGCTGGCTTCTCCAGCTGGGTGAACAAAGGAGTTTTTAAGCATACAAAATGCAGGCAACTATTTCCTAAAGAGACAATGACAAACTACTATAAAAATGCTACTAAAAGTCTTGGGAAATATCAAAGGTTCTATGCACCGGCCAAATCCCTTTTGTTCCAGATGGGCAGCATAACTTCATCAAAGATGATTGTCCCGAGTTCAAGTGAGCCAAAATATATATATATATATATA